ATTAATGCCTACAACTAATAAAAATCATTTATGTTTGTGCACCCTCACGTTTTATTCACTAGTACAAAAATGTTTTTTTAGCAATGGAAGCATTTTTTGACAAAGACGGCTCAGTCAAAATCCACCCCTCAAAATAGTTTATGTGCCGGCTCGCCTCTACAAGTCGGTTTCTAGAATTGGAGGCATTTTTTAAAATAGGTGGAGCACATTAAAATTCATAAGTTTTCAAATCAAGTGGGATGAAGATAAACTTCATACCAAAGTTGTAGTACTAGAAGAAATCTAAAATTTTGCTGTTGACAACTTTTCTGTTTGAATTCATTTATTGCACACAAAATCTGTTTAAAGCTTTCTGATTTCAAAATTCAATTTTCTTGAATTTTTCAAATGACACTCGGATGGAGAACCTGTCTAAACCAAAGTTGTAGTACTAGAATGGATCTACAACTTCTTAGTATCCAGAAATTCAATTTAAACATTCATATTTTTTAAATTCATTTATTTGAATTTGTCAAAGTAACTCAGATGGAGAAATTACCTGAATAAAATTGTTGCACTCAAAGTGATAAACTTTGTAGTTGATTACATTTTCATTTGAAATCATTTAGCATCCAAAAATTATGCTTTAAGATTAAATAATTTTGAAATTCATATTTGTTTTATTTTTTTCAAATGACCTAGGTGATATAGAACATTCCAATTGAAACGTTTTTTTTTGAGTTTATTGATGTCTCAAATATGTCTTACAATATTCACTAAAGTGAATACAAAAGGAAAGTATTTGACACTTACATGCTGTTTGGTTGGCAAATGTAAACGCAAATGTTAACGAAATCGAATTACCCTGGGACCGTAAACAATGAATCAAATCACATACTTTGTTTGGATTTGGACGGTAATGGAATCAGCTGAGTGCACGAGCTGCACGACGACGCTGAGCGACCAATCTTCAGGGAGCGATGAACGCACGACGACGCTCACCTAGCGACGAACCTGGCCGGTGCTGGAGCCGCTCCCCCGATGAGCAGCATGTGCAGGTCCACCTCGCTCCCACCGCATCAGCCCTTGGCCTTGCCATTCCCGGTGGCCACCGTGATTCTTCCGATCACGGCCCCCGACAGCACCGCCGCTGCCAGGCACGACATCAGGCGCCACAAGGACCACCACCACCTCCTCACGACTACAGGGACAGTGGATGTAGCGGCGGCAACGTTGAATCCGGGCCCAAGCTTGTCCCCGGGGGTGGGGAGGACGAACATCTTGGGGTCACCAACTTCGTGGGGAGCGGTGTGAGTTCACTGTTGGACCGTAGAGCACACGAGGGAGGAGTTGACGCGGATCTTGAACTTGAAGCCCCTTGTCGACCACGGCTGCATCTACGGAATCGCGAGGCGAGGAAGAGGAAGCGCCCTAGTCCTATAGCGGCGGCGGCGGTATCGGATAAGGCTTGGGGATGTCTGGGATTGGAATTGAATAGGCTGTAATTGGATTACAGGGTACCTAATATCGGGACAAGTCCAACTAAACAACAGTAACGATATTCATTACCCTCTGTAATCCAATTACGTTACATTTAGTTGAACCAAACACCATGTTAGTTACAAATGATTCTGAGGCATAGTGGTAAGGGGAGTAACGTTTGAGGCATGAGGTTGTGACTTTGATCCTAACAACTGCACACGCGCATGGGGGCTACCTGGGAAAAAACTTGATTTGTTTACTCGATTTGTGATTTGTGGAAAAGGATTTCTAGTGGCCTTGTTTTCAGCCACATCTACAAATCATTTTTGTTGGAGACAACTGCTACAAATTGTTGATTATTTGTAGAGACGGACCGGTAGAGGCACCTAGGTCAGCCACCTCTATAGAGGCTCCCCATTTGTCTCTACAAATGCTTTTTTGTAATAGTAATTTTCTAACACATTATACATATGGGCTATGCTATGGTAACTACTTTATGTGAGCTAAGATGTTACTCGGTCCATGAACTCTCAAAGCAAAAATCTAGGTCCTTCAAGTTTTCAAATAGTTTATTCTAAGTTCACTATAGGTCCAATCATGGACCTGAATTCACACTTTGAAGGACCAAGATGATCATTTTGAGAATTCATAGACCAAGATGAGAGTGTATAGAAAAAGTATAGACACCCATGATGCATTTCGTTCTTTAACTATTATATGATGACATAAGTGATCACTTAAGCCTATACCATAGCTATCAAAATCGATTAGATCTTAAAGTCAAATACCGGAGGAGGCAATGGTTCACGTCAAGGGGATATCAATATTTAAATCAAATAATCACTATTTACTCAAAAGAAATCTTAAAAACCAAAGAGGCTATAACCACCTATGGTCCCCACTAACCTTCTACACTACTTAAAATCTTGAAATTTTGCTTTCAAAATATATAGTGTAGTTGTTTTTAAAAAAAAAAAGGGTGTCTAAAATTATACTTTCAATTTATATGTGTTACCATGTTTTATTTTAAATACTCAAATTTGTGTAAAGTAACAACTTACATAAATTTATAATTTCATTGGTACATGAGTCCTTAAGGAAACAATTACATAGACTACTCATGCATGCATGTATGCTTGAGCTAATGGCACATCAGGTATGTTTACTCAAGATAACTTTATATATTAACAACAATAGAAGTGGATAATTTACAAACATCTATAGAAGTAATTTATGATAATTTAAATATCCTTTGTAATAGTAGAGGTTTAGATTTACGAAGATATTTTGGTTTAACTTCAATAATGGAATAAGTGGCGATTTATATGCAAATTTAAAGAGTTCCTTCGATTATATTTCATTTGGCAAGATGGATAATTTATATGTAAATTTTATGGGTGCTACTTTAGATTATTTTTATTTATGGTATAGGTCAGTAATTAGAAGTCAATTTAAGGGGCCACGTGCGTTGTTTTTTAATAACAACAGAGGTGGGAAAATTTCTACAAAATAGATCCAATAGAGATTACTATCCATTGTGATTAGAGTATACCAAATTGATGCTCGCATCTTTCTAAAGTTTATGAGAATTCTATAATTTATCTTTTTCTAGCATGTCTCGTGTGTATTAATATGTGGCTTCATTCGTGGCCTCCAATTAGTAATCACTAGGGCATCAACCCAGCCCCTCACACGGGTTAGAATTTTAAGAGAAATAAGCATTAATTATTTTTCATTACCTCTAAATAATAAATATTGCTTCTAATGAATTGTATTCTTTTTTCTCTTTGTTCATTTTCTAAACACAATAGGTACAATAGATATTTTGTAGTCTTTGTCTAGTTGAATAAACTTATAAATTATTGTTCTTCAATATCCATAGCATTTTCCCATTTGCATGTAAGCTCTCTATATCTTCAAATTTAGTTAAAACCTAAGCTTAAACTGTGGCCACTCTTGTTGTAGCCCATATTTTTTGACGTCATGAATCTAATTTATGATTTTTAGATGTTAGTCTTATAAATTGCTACAGATTTTTTAAAATCCTCAAGTTAAATTGAAACTGTTATCTCATTGTATATGTTAATACTCTTTTTTTACTTTATAAAAGTAAGGACCTTAGGTCATAGACTACAATCTTAAGTACTACAATGGTATAAGGAGTCATTTACACCACGTTGCTTAAATCAGTGGCAAACCTTGGAGCTCTTGGATGGGTAGCACTGCTAGTCTCACGAGGATATTATTAATATTTAAGGTATATAATGACTAATTGCTCCAAAGGAATTCCAAAGGCCATGATGATATAGCTAAATGTGGTCTACACTAACATCCCCACTTCTCAACATGTTAGAATTTCTAATCAAAGAATTATATGTGCAGTAATGGTTATACTATCAGTGTAGATATGTGAAATATTTTTGTTAAAATGTATTAATAATTTATTGTTATCAGTAGTAAATGAGCTTTCAAGAAAATACTTTTCATGATTGCTAAAAGATAACATATATCTTCATCTCTCATGAATGAGTGTGTACTTTAGTCAAGTTTTAATATATTAATATTAATAAAAGTGGGTAATGTAGAAACATATATATGCTTTATGGTCAAACATTAAAATAAAATTTATCCTAATTATACATGTTTACTTAGTCTACATGGCGGAGCATAATATTATTCTTACTTTTAACTTAACAACGGTAGAAGTATGTAATTTAGAAATATATATAGCGTACTTTATAGATAATGAATTATTTTTTGTGGTAGATTATATTAGTATTTATATGCAGATTTGAGAGTTTTTTTGTTTATTTTTATGACAGCGGAGGTGGATAATTTATATACAAATTAAAATTTGCTACTCTATATATTATGGGTAAATTGAATGCAAAAATATAATTGATCTAATATTATTTTTCATAATAGCATATGTGGTTAATTTATAACAATATTAGCATGCCATTTTAAATTACCTTTCACAATGTGGGATATTCTAAATTATATTGCATAATGGTATAGGTGAGTAATTTAGATGCTAATTTAGGGGGTTATTTTGAATGATCTTCAATAATAACTAAGGTGGTAATTTATAAACAAATTTAGGGGTTTTTTAAAATTATTTTTATAATAACAGAGGTAGGTAATTTACATGAAAAAATATGGATGTACTTTAAGTATTTTTCAAAATGGTAGAGGTAAGTAACTTTTTAACAAAACAGAATAATCTAGTGGTCGCTATTGGTATTTATGATTAGAGTCTGCTAAATTAAAGGCTAGATATTTCTTATTGTTATTACGGTAGTTTATAGTATTTATGTTTTTTCTAGCATGTAAGGTGAGAATTAATCTGGAGGCTCTGTTGGATCTTCTAATTAGTATTAGAAAGATAAGATGTCCAAATGCAAACCAAGTTAACCAATCTTGAATGAAGTCAAAACCAATTTTACCAATCTTGAATAAACACTCTTAGGCACGAGCTTTAAGACATTCAGTCTCCAAGAGAATATTATAGGGATTACTATTTAATAAACAAGGAGGGATTAAAAGATATATATAAGGACCTTTGTTTTTAAGAGGTCAAGTGCAGCGTCATCTTCTATGCCAACAAGATTGTAGATATTGTGTTCGTCCTCAGAACAATGTTCCGCAACAGATTTTTCCCTTGTGGTGACTATCACCCTTTTAGATTTCAGCAATATACTTTTAATGGAGTCCCATTCTTCGGTGGTTGATAGGTCATCAAGAACAATGAGGCAGTTTTGAGTCCCAAGAAGTCTAGATAATTCACTAGTCATCTCTTGGTGTCCCATTTCTCTAATATCCTTCTTCAGTTTCACTGAGTCAGCTCTAGTTGAGTCTTGTTCTTCAATATTTGTCTGAAGCTGCAAGGCTAGATTCCAAAGGAGTGCATCACTGTTGAAAAAGCGCGATGCAGTTGCCCAAGCACGCTTCCAGCCACCAAGTTGTTGGCTTTGGTAGACGCTTCTGACAAGAGTAGTTTTCCCAATACCACCCATTCCCCAAACAGAGATCACCTTGCAGCCCTGACTGTCGTCATCTGGCTGACCAAGTAAATGATTAAGCTTTTGTTTCTCTGTCGATCGCCCGACAACAATGTCTTCAGGGGTTACTGACCTCGTCTTGGACAGAGACCGACCAAGCTTCTTTTCAATTGTTAAGGTAGTGGGCATCACTGAATACCACATCTGTATCTGTATATAGAGGTAGTACAATTATATATAATTAACACTTTGTTTGTTTCAGAGTATATAAACAAGGTAGACTGAAATGTAAGCTGGTAACACTTTTTTTAAAATGTAAGCTGGTTTGGCAATGTTGGAAGGAGCTGCAACTTGAGGAGATACGGGGAAAGCTTCTGAAAATACAAACGTCGGAAGCCTTTGTTCGTACCATCCTCGGGCTCAGGCCTGATCTATGCCTCCGAACTGTGATTTTATTATGGAAGTGGTGGGATGTTCGCAACAAAGTTAATGCAGGTGAGATGATGCCGACCAGCCAGGAAGTGGCCTGGGTGGTTTATTCTGTACTCAGAGATATCCAGAATGGAGAGACACAGCTAGCACGTCCTCCCCTGCCATGCCAGGTCTGGAAGCCACCTGATTATGATCAGCTGTAAATAAATGTTGATGGGGCCTTTAGGAAGGAGGACAGTGCAGGTGCATGTGGCTTTATCATCCGTAATCATAATGGAGTGCCGATGTTAGCTGGTGCAGTGAATATTAGCCCAGCCCTGGATGCTTTAGCAATGGAGATGGCGGCGTGCTTGTTTGCTCTGGAATCGGCTGAACGCTTTGGTATATCGAGAGTTGAGCTGGAGACAGATTCAAGCCTTCGAGAAGCAATGACTTCATACTCCAGAGAATTAGCAGCGGGAGGAGTTCTCTTTCGAAGTATCCGTGAATTTCTAACGGATCAATTCATTTGTACAAAGATTCTAAATGTGCCACAATCTTGTAACTCGTATACGCACGAGATTGCTAGAATTGCTATGAGTTGGGACCCAGGTCAATCCTCTGTTTGGCGCGATCCCCTCCCTGAATTTGTAAACAGTGTGGTAGCTCGCAATTTGGCTGAGCTCGGGTCTTTTAATACTAGGCCATGAGAGCCAAGTTTGAATTCAAAAAAAAAAACAAGGTAGACTGAGACTACAGCTAATTCAATAGAGACTGGGAAAAGAATTCTTCATAAATTTCTCATGAGCGGAATCAGAATCACATGTCCACTAGTATCATCTTCCCAGTTTCTCAGTCTTGGGCTCCCTGACCACCTTGAGCCCTTGAACAACACTCCTTCCCAGAACTAGCAGAAGCTGCTCCAGCACCATTGGAACGTGTTTTGTGGACGATTTGATTTTGTCGGCAAAAAGCTCATGTGGAAGTAATAACTAATAGAGGAGTTTGGAAAGGCATTGTTTCGCCATGGATTCGGAACCCCAAGCGATTTAGAATTTTAGGTTATAAACTTTACGTTTAGATGAAACAAATTTTTGCAAGATGACATATGAAAAGGTCACCTAGTAGACATTAAAATATGCCTTGCTTTAAACATTTATGGTGTTTTTCACTGGCCCTTAGTTTGGGCCATAAAACAAGTAAGAAGAGGAAAGTTAATTAAAGAAGTAACAAGAAAAGTGTCATCCATCTATTCACTGGGCCTATATTGGGTCAAAAAACAAGTAAGAAGAGGAAAATTAAACAAAGTAATAAGAAGAGTGTCATCCATATCAGAATGGAAGATCCCAAAATGGATTCAGAAGGGTGCTTGCTGGTTGCATATATTCATTAAATCGCCTAAAGTGGTGTAGAAAGAATAGATGATTTGGACGACGAGATGACAAACTTTAGTGACGCAAAGACTAGTGATGTCAGTCAGGGTGTCTGTTTTTGTAAATCAAGATTGATCCATAATCTCTAGCTATACCAATAGTTGAAGACTGTAAAATGGACATTCATAAGATTCAGAGCTTTTACCTTCTTGTGGATCAGGTAGAGAGTTTGATCTGGCGACAATTGCTTTAGTTCTGACATTTGGTATGGCTGCTCCGTGCATAGGCATGCAACTTCAAATTCTTGAGTGTTGACGACAATTCTGCTTCTCATCTTCTTGTCAGGAAAGTAAGTTCTGATGAAATCCCACTCCTCTATCGTTGAGAGGTCATTGATCACTATCAGGTAGCTCTTGGTATTCACTAGTTCATTCAACACATGGACCAAATCACTTTGTGTTATGTTCTCCATCGTCAGCAAAATGTTTGCGCCAACAGTTGTTCCTTCTTGAGCCTTACTAGTCTTTTGATAAGAATTAACATAAAACTGCCTCACAAGGCTCTCGATGAATTCATATGGATTGAAAGGGCGCATCAGTCTTACCCAAGCACGAAATTCAAACTTGGCTTTTACCTTCGGGTCATCATAGGCCTTCCTGACCTCGGTTGTCTTACCGAATTCACCACTTGACCCCCACACCGCGATCACCCTAAGTTCCATCTCCACGCTGTTGATCAGCTGAGCAAGGTCCACCGGTGATTTTACATCCTCCACAGTCTCATGCCAAGCCTTGTCAATGCCCCACATCCTGCCCTGTTCAGCCCCATGCTTGGAGTCGTCGCTGATAATGTGGTACCAATGATTCCTTCTGCTCACTTCCTCTACCTTGTCCCTGAGCTCCTTCAACTCCATGGCGATGCGATGGCGGTCATGCAGGTTGCGGGCGAAGCAACACCAAGAAGACTTTTGCACCTCTGAATAAACCTTGAAATCCATGAGGCTGTCCTCGACATTGTAGGCCAGATCCCGGACCTGCTTGACCAAGGTGGTGGGCACCTTCTTCGGGTCTTGCTCCTCATCAGCTGCCGTCAGGAAGGACTGCATCATCTCCAGCTCGTCGGTGATAAAGCCCACGTCGCGCTCGATGCCGAGCTGCTGCCTCATCTCCTCCACAACGGTGGATTGCGCGCAGCCAAGAACTCCATCCAGCACGGCCTTGCCAACGCTCACGACCGTTGCCTCCATGTCTCCAGCTACCTCTCCCCGCTCCGCTCTCAAGAAGTCGCTTAATTTAGTTTTTTTTTTTTAGTTTGAGGCTCCAAATTCTGATGTGTTCGTCAATGATGCAGGAGATGTGTAGTCGATTGATGATATCTTCTTCTTGTCTTCTTCTTCTTCTCCTTCTTCTCTCTCTGGGCCTCCTGAGCTTTAGTGCAGTGGAAGCTCACGGCATGTGATGCTGTGCAATTTCAGGACGAAAGCTAAATATTCTTCCTGTCCTGAGGAACACTACACCTACCTTAGCCTTCAAGATATAACTGCTTTATACTTGCCTAATGTCGCACGATATTCTTCTTTTTTCTTTACTGCCTTTGCGGCAATAGAATTTCTTGGAACTAGCTATTTTCTTTCTTTCAGATGCCCATATACTTGCTTGCACGCATCACCATTCTAATATATGTTGAATATTTACTCATTTTGGGGTATATTTTAATTTTAATCCAGAAATAAGACATCACATAGACCATGCATGACACAATCAAACGTGAGCAACCCAGACATAGTATACTCAAATAAGCTAACGAACAAGCTAATAGCCAATGCTATCAACAAATCTATAGCACACGCACCAAATGCACCAAAAAACTAGGGCCAGAGGCAGCCGGTGTTTGATACCACTATTTCTATCAACAAATCTATAGCACACCCAACCAAATGCACCAAAGAACTAATGTTGGAGGCAGCAGGTGTGTGTTACCACCATTAATTCTCGCGAGGTACGCAGTGCAGTCCTACGAATGGTAGATCGGTCATCGGGAAGTAGATGAGGCCCTTTTACGCACAAGGACACAAGGATCTGAACCAGAGATCACTTCACGGGCGTGGCTCCGCTCGACAAGGCAGCGTGCACGTGTGGCCTTCCAACTCTCCCCCTCAACTTGTCTATAGTAGCACACACTAGCATACTATTTAAGTTGAGTACATTCCTTGTTAGTTTCCCATGTGGGACTAACCTCTCTTGCACCTCGCAATAATTGTGGGCCTTTGAAATTTCTTTGATTAATTGTTAGGGTAAACATGTGCCAGGCCAATTAATCTAGCAAATCCCCACCAAATTTCAAGTCACACAATAAATGCTCTCGATTCTTGACATTGTTTGATATACCAGTGTTTCAATGAAGACCGTTAAGTTGAACATCCTTCTAGAAAATGAGTTACACTTATCCACATTTGAACAATGGACTACATGCCTTGAATTGGCAGTTTTATGTCAATAGGCTTTATCCAATTCCTTTAGTCATACAAGGTTGCCTAAAGGCTAAAGCACCCCCTCTGGTTAGAGCATATAAGTCATACTCTATGCCTATTCATTAGTTTTTAGAGAGATCACCCATATCTCGTAGATTCTGACCAGCAATCGAACTTATATAGGTGTATTTGTTTGTAGAAGTCCTGTAGGTTGACATCTCTGCTTGAGTAAGCCACTCGGGTCAGATTAAGGTCTAAACCAACCTACCATATAGTTCGGAAGAGAAGTGCATCACTAAAAAGATAAGCCTTGTAAAGGCCTCTTTCCCAGTCAACCAATAGCTTGTTTCACCATGCATCCTACTTCATGGGATCTCCGTTCACGTAGGATAGGTTACCACTATGCTATGACTTCATATGCTTCTCAAGGCCATCTCACTAGATGCATTGTCTTTCACTTTACATGATACACCTTAGTAAATTGGTCTCCCAAATTCTTAGTTGTCTCGAAATAATCCAGTGTTATCACTCCAAGTTTTTTAGTTTTCTGACATACATCAATCGCCTCTTAACATGCCTAGATGACTTCATGTTGTCCTTAAGACTGTTCACCTTGATGATCGTAGTCTAATTGTCACAATTTATCATAATTGCCGGTATTGGTTTTCGGCCACCAGCAAATCCATAAGGAGTTCACGAAGCCGCTTGACCCCAACAGTGGCGGTATCTAATGTTGTGAATTCTGCTTTCATTGTTGACCTTGTTAAGATGGTTTGCTTATAAAACTTTTAGGAAATGGCACCATCTCCAAATGTCAACATATATCCACTCATGGCTTTTATTGCATCAGCATCAGAGATCCAATTTGAATCATTGTAGCCCTCTAGTACCTCTGGGTACTCAACATAGTAAATCGCATAACTCATGCACTACTACACAAAAGGGAATCACTACCGGTTCAAACCCCCATCACTGCCAGAATTTGAACCGGCAACACCAAATCGGTAGTGATGAGGTTCCCAAGAAACCCAAAAACGGGATGAAAAAAGGGCTGGCAAATAGAAAAAAAAATTAACACTAGGAGATACCCCACTGGGCAGGTACACGCGCGCTTTGCGGGCGGCAGCGCTCGAACCCACAACCTCATGCTTCGCGTGTTCGTCCCCTAACCACTCTACCCATAAGACACTTGTATCCATTTGGGATATTTGTCATTCCCATTTTATGTTCATCTAATTTTGAAATGAGTATTTGGGGCCCTAAACAAATGCAAATGAAAAGGTTGTCAAGTACAAGGTTTTATGACTTTTTATATCTACAACTTTAGTTTTGGTCATTTCTTCGTCCGAGGTCGTTTGAAAAAATTAAATTTCAGATGTGAGAAAATTCAGCCAAAATTTTCCTTGTATAGATGATTTCAAATGAAAAAGTTGTCAACTACAAAGTTTCATAGCTTTTCGAGATCTACAACTTTTGTTTTGGTTGCTTCTCCATACGAGGTTGTTCGAAAAATTCAAATTTTAAATATGACAATTCAAACTTAATTTTCGTTGGATAGATGATTTTAAATGAAAAGGTTGTCATCTAGAAAGTTGCATAACATTTTGAGACCTATAACTTTTGTTTTGGTTGCTTCTCCATCCAAGATCCTTAACTACCACTACAAACTCACTTATGACTATCAAGCATATGGATTCCTTTGGTATCAACTTCTATAAAATCTTGTGAATCAAGTATTTCGGCATCAAAACGACTTCAAATTAAAAAGTTGTGAACCATAACTTTTTGAGATCTACAACTTTTATTTTGGTTGTTTCTCTATCTGAGATACTTTCCTACCACTACACACTCACTTATGACTATAGAGCATATGGACTCATTTGGTATTAACTCTATAAAATCTTATTATGCATATTTGGACATCCAAACGATCTTAAAACAAAAAAGTTTAGACTAATACTAAAACTTTGGTATAAAGTTCGTCTTCATCGGACATCGTATGAGAAAGTTATGAAGTGTTTCATGTAGCCTATCACTGTCGGTTCAAGTATCATTGACATAACACCACCGTAATATATTGTGCGCACTAGAGAAATAAATAAATTTGCAAACAAATTAACCTTAAGAACAAACCCGCGGTGAAACTTCTAGTCACCGCCGGCTCGACAGACGATGTTGTGTGTAACACCCTAAAATTTGCAAACTTTTAAAATAGTAAATTTGATTTATTTACGCAATTATATGTGCATTCAAATATAGGAAATTAATAATTTTTGGGAAATTAAAAATCAAAATATAAGGTTAGTAACATGTTGATGCATTCATACTGTTGCACATTTGTTTTTGTAATGATTAGCTTTGACTAGAATTTGAATTGAATTTGAATTCAACTTGAAAATGAGATTGGAAAATGTATTTGGAAAAAGAAAAGGAATTCTTTTCCCTCCCCTTCTTTTCTCCACTTTCGGCCTAGCTCCATTTTTCTCAACCGCTGGCCCGCTCTCTCTTTTCCCCTCCCTCTGTTTTTCTCCCCGAGCCGGCCTGCTCGTTATCCCCTTTCCTTCCTCCGAACGTGAAGGGAGCTCTCGCCGCTGGCCATGGCCACCCCCGCGCCAACCGCAACCTCCGACCACGCTCTAGGCCTAGACGAGTTCGCCTGTTTCCCCTCTCTCTCCCGGTGCTCTCGGTTCATCGAACCGTCCGCCGTAGCCCCCGTACCGACCGCGCCGGCATGCTCCTCGCCGTCGGCAATGGCTGCACTGCCGCGGCCGCACTGTTCCGGCCACCACTGCTTTCTCTCTCTCCCTCCCATCTAATCTGATCCACCCGTTCTTGATCCAACAGCCCACGTAGGCCGATACCCCTTCGCGTGTCGGTTTTGCTAATGAGTCCCTGAGCTTTTCTAAGTCCTAACCCGTGGTCCAAAACGCATTTCCTGAGTACGCTTTCTCCTTTTGAAAACGTAAAATATACGGTTTTAGTCCGTAATACGTTTTTAGTATTTACAGAAATGCCACTAGATTTGTTTTGCTCATAAAAACTTCGTTTTAGCTACGAATTGACCCGTTCAAATTGCGTTAGTTTCGTAATTTCATAATCTACGTGTTAGTACCACTGTTAATCATGTTTGCAACTTTTAAATTTCAGGGTTAGGTTTAATTAAGTAAATTGCTATAGGAAACCCCGTTTAATTCATAACTTTCGCCGCTGGCCATGGCCACCCCCGCGCCAACCGCAACCTCCGACCACGCTCTAGGCCTAGACGAGTTCGCCTGTTTCCCCTCTCTCTCCGGTTTCTCGGTTCATCGAACCGTCCGCCGTAGCCCCGATCGACCGACCAAGCCGGCAAGCATGCTCCTCGCCGTCGGCAATGTAATGGTCCTGACCCTTGCCGCCAAGACCGTTCCGCCACCACCGCTTTTCTCTCTCCTCCCATCTAATCTCGATCCACCGTTCTTGATCCAATGTTTCACGAGGCCGATACCCCTTCGCGTGTCGGTTTTGCTAATGAGTCCCTGAGCTTTTCTAAGTCCTAACCCGTGGTCCAAAACGCATTTCCTGAGTACGCTTTCTCCTTTTGAAAACGTAAAATATACGGTTTTAGTCCGTAATACGTTTTTAGTATTTACAGAAATGCCACTAGATTTGTTTTGCTCATAAAAACTTCGTTTTAGCTACGAATTGACCCGTTCAAATTGCGTTAGTTTCGTAATTTCATAATCTACGTGTTAGTACCACTGTTAATCATGTTTGCAACTTTTAAATTTCAGGGTTAG